CACCTAAACTCAAGCAATCGAAAATCAGTTCTTTCCTGCTGCAAGTGGTTTCGAACCACGCCGATTTAAAATGGTCAAGAAAGCAAACGACAAAGAAATACGCAGTATCCTCTGCCTGTGCAATAAGTAAGACTCACAGCTGGCATTAGTTGCCTAAACCCACTACTTCGTCAACTTATACGCCAACTCCAAAGCACGTCGGAGGTCGGATCAACTACACCTAAAATGGGGTACGTGGGACCCACGGTTTTTTTTTTCCTTTTTTTTCTTTTACGATTTATTGCTAATTCTTGAAATAAAGGATTATTCGTGAATGCATTAATTATCTCTCGACGTAGTTTGGTGAATAAATTAATTTCATGCCAGTAGTTGAAGCGTGACGACTTCCTGGATCCATCCATGATTCATAAACAGCTAAATACCATCTTTGGCCAAAATCAAGCACAAATACATGATGATATCATAAGATAAATTGAAAAAAATAAATAAACAAATACTGAAACCGATAAATTCAAGCCTTGGGAATTCCGCGAGAACATAGGTCAGCCAGGACACGGTTGAGAGCATCCAAGTCACCAGCGCCAGCTGGAGGTCCTGCAGGCATGTACTGTATCGACTGTGCAGTGGTGACCAGAGCCATGCTTTATTTATACAATTATACAGCAACACATATACATCACATATATCTCAAAACCCTCGACGCACAACAAAAACAACCTGCAGAGATCCCTGCCATCAAAGAGCTAAATTAAGAACCAGCATTTATTAAATTTATTTGAAGATCAACGGTCTAGGATCCAGATACTTGAAACAATGTCCATCATAAAAATGATGACAATACTCAATTTTCCCACTAGTTATACAGTTCATTCACTCACATAGACTATCATCTTTTCAATCGTTATTTTATTATGTTTATACCAAATCAACTTTAACCAATCAATTTAGATCTTCCATCTAACAGACTCAAAAAAGTTTTACCACGTTTCTTTCAGAAAATCTTTTACCATAATCTCCAGTGAAAGAAAATTTTCAAAATGAAGGTATATCCAAGAACACCCTTATTGATGAGCAACCATACAAATACACTACAAATTAAATAAATCAAAGAAAGACATACCCCGTGCTTTGTACCACTTGACCTAGAGTGGTAACTGCCACTTCACGTTTCATGGCAGCTGCACTATCTAATAAAGCTTCGATTCATTTAGATGCCCACTTCACGTTTCACCGCTCGTCTCCACAGGGATATTCCAAATTAGTGTGCCACGCCTTAGCTCAAATTCGTCTCTTTCGCCCTCCAATCATCATAAATTCCAAATTCCAAAAATTATAGAAATCAATTAAAATCAATAATTAAGCTCAAATAATCCCGAAAAAGTATGAAAAACATGACAATTAACATGCCAAGAATACGACATATCAAATCACCCACACTTAAACGATGTTTGTCCTCAAGCATCAAGTCAAATTCATCATCTCATCTCATAATCATCTCTATCATTCGTTACCAACCCAAAAATATTTTCCACACATCAGAAACATAGCTTAAGAAATAATCCTCATTAACCAACATCAATGAATAATCACCTTAACAATCAAATAACTTAAAACACATGAGATTCGACAACTTCTCACAAGATACACTCAACGCTCGAATGTGTATAGGCTAAATATATAAAGTGTACGCTCAAGTCAAGACAAAGAAGGATTTTACCATAAGCTTGCAAATATATCACGCTCGTCCACCCAAGAATCAATATGAACACACAAAATCGAAGGGTTTAAATGGGTTGTAATGGGGCTTAGGTACGGTAGGAAAAAAAACATATTAGGCAATGAGAATCAAAGCAATCATTCAAACTCTTCACAAACGGAGATCAATCCCAAAAGAAGTCGTTTTAATTGTATAACTTCACAAAATGTATCTAACGTAAGAATAAAAAAGCGCAATTCTCTTCATTGTCAATCTCCCCAGTTTTTTTTTCATTTTTTTTTTCGTTTTATGACTTTTTCGATTTTTTTTTTCTTTTCTTTTTTGCCTTCTTTTTCTTTTTTTTTTCCTTCTTTTTTTTTTCTTTTTTTTTCGGAGAGAGAAGACAAGAACTAGTACATATTAGATAACTAAGCTTCAAACAAACCACAGTCAAGTCTACGCACATAAGTTCATCACGAATACAAAGAATTCATATAATTGCTTCAATTCAATGTTCAAAAGAGGGTATCAACAAAAATGATCGTGGCTTGTAACTTGGTTAATTGAAAGAAAAGGCTAAAGCTCAAACTTGGCTCACTAGGGGTCTATGTAAAAGGTAGGCTTCCAAGAAAAAGGGTAAAAACAAAGGGCTAATCCTAATACCCTTATTAAGATATCGTGCATCCAAATTCATCAAAGGTAAACAAAGACGTGCATACCAAAGCAAGTTCTAGAAAAACCGACTAGTCATGACAACACACAATCAAGGAAAAGGAGCATGATATTCAATATATGCTCATAGGCTCAAATCTCACCAAAAATAAGGTAATATGTGTCGAATCACATGCATTCGCAGTCAATTAATCATCAAGAGCAATCAATCACTAAGTAGCAACAAGAACTCCAAAATCATTTTCACATGCAAATAAAATCAATTTTTCACCGGATTGGCACCAAACGGATCGAGAATAACCACAAGAAAAACAATAAAATAAGACTTAATACCTAAGATAATAAATAATCTCGGAAAAAACTTATAAGGATACGCTAAATCAAACATCGCAAATGACAGCCCACCCACTTAAAAATAGACATTGTCCTCTATGGCACAACTCAATGCTCAAGCAAAATATAGAAAATAAGCAC